GAAAGAGATGGAACTAGAGGATGGAATTTTTCTGTAACCCAAGGTCCTTTGAGAAAGGAGCATTTGCTCCTTTACAGGTGATGGTGATCTACAAAACACACCTCTGGATATTCAAATGTAACTTGTAGTGAGTTATGCGTGTGTTACTGCACAGGAGTTAGTGCTGAACTGCTTTTTCTCTGGGATTCCCTAATGGCTGGCTTTTGAGATTGCCAGCTCTTTCCTGCCTGAGGGTTTCTCTGAGTTCGGGTGCATAACTTGGATAAGAATGATCCTGAATTATGCTGCTTACTGCTCTCTCTGTACTGCTCTGTACTCTCCTTAGCACAGTGCAAGGGGAAGGTGAGGGGAATGGCTTTTACAAAGTGACTTGGCTTGTGTGCCATCCTTAAGCGGCATCTTCTTTTGCTGGTGCTGGAGGACTGAAGGCTGGGCTACAAGGGCTGTTGATCTGGCCCGAGCGAGAACCTTTTCATTCTCAGTTCTGATTAAAGAGTCCACCTAAGGAACACCGAGTAGATCACCAAGTAGATTTTACAGGTAAAAGAGGAAGAGAGAGTAGTGTGCCTACGTGGTTAAATTCCAAAAAAGTACAAAAGAAAGTATCCTGATGCAGCTGGCTTCCTGATGACTGGGATGTGATGCCTGCCAGACGTGATTGCTTAAGTGCAGTTTGAATAGAAATCATTAAGGAAATGAGACTTGCCTCCTCTCTGTACATGGATTTCACCAACAGACAACCAGGTTTTACTTTCAGAGTTCTTTACTGGCTTGCAAAGTCAGGTGTAATAATTTCTAAACTAACAAACCGAGACCTCTAAATCTACTACTACTCTAAACCTACTATGATGTGGAAAGGCACCTGAAATGCACAGAGTAAAACACAACCTGTCCAGCAAGGCTGCTGGTAGTGCTGAGATCCTTGATATGTGTCACCTAAATAGAAAATGAGAGGCCAAATAAATCTCACAGGCTGAGTAGCCGAGATTAATAGGAGGGAGAAGACAGCAGCCAGGGACAGCAGTTGCAACATTTTTCCTGGGTCATATAAGCTTGTTGTTGTTTGCCAGCAGTTTAGTCATAGCACTTAAAACATCAAGTGACTTCTGCCCAGGTGAAGTGTTCTGCCTCACATGGCTTAGGAAGTTTCTGACTATGTGGAAACTGCAAGAGAACATCCACTAATCAACGCTGAAGTCACTAGGCCCCGTGTAAGCCTCTGCCTTTGGACCAGAAAGGTATGCTGTCACCTACAGCAACAGTAGTAGTTAAGAAATAAGCCCAACGTCTTTGTGGCTGTTGACACATGGTTTGCAGTTGACTTGTCCTTGCCTTTTTTTGTAACAGTTCACAATAGTTTGCTCTGCAAGAAGCGGTGTTAGAGAATCACAGTCCTGTCACCACCAGCGTTTTGTGTAGGAGCCTGGGGTCAGAGGATTGATTACACAAGATTTCTGCAGTGCAAGGTGTGATCTTATTTGTCTGTGAGCCGCGGCACTTAGTTAACTCAAAGCATTTGAGTCTGCCAGTTCTTTTACAGGTAGTTGATCAGACAACAGGGCCAAAAGCTTGTTTTCCAAAATGACTGTTGGATCTCTCAAGTCTTGTGCTTGCATTCTGAGCGGTGAGCACAGATGGGTGTACGCCTGAGCCCAAGAGCAGTGACCACTTTACACGTGCTCCCAGCAGTAAATTCGAGTAAGAATAAATTAATAGTATCAATGACAGTGTCAACCGCAAACAACAAATGTGAGAATAATTACTGCAAATAACACCCAATTCAATATCTAGATCATCTTGTTTCATAATATATAGAAGAGTGCCACTGGAGCTTCCAGTACAAGGCACAAAAGTAAAACCAGAAGTCTTAAGTACTTTAATATGCATGTAATTAATTTCAATTTTGATGCAAAAACTTATAGTAGCTAATAGCGCTTCCTTGATTTGGGGAAAACAGTTCTAGGTACCTTCTAACCTGCTATAACCTGCTTGCTTCTTAAAAATTCAGCACAAAATAAATGCTTTCCTGTCAGTTATGTCCAGCAAGAATCTGTATTAGAACAGCATAATAGCTGCTCTGGAAAGAAAAGGGATTCTGTTGGCAGATCTTATTGCCTCATGTTTCTTCTGGCAACCAATAACAGAAGTAACTCTGTAAAAGCTGTTGACTATTACAACTTGTATTTCTTCTGTCTCATCTGAAATGAAAATGTTGAAAAATAGCAGTTGGAGTGGTTAACATTGAAGTCTACCTATTGAAGTACTGACATGTCTGTGGATTTGTCCGCATACCTTTTTTTTGTCCTTGATAATCCTTGCTGAATCAAACCCTGCAGCATCAATGAGTTAGGGAAACCTAGTCCTTAATTTACAGGGGAGAGAGCTGAAGCCTGAAGGAAGTTTTGGCACACCTGGAACCAGAACACAAACCTCTAGATTGTCTGCAAGAGTGGCCTTTTTCTGCCTCTGTGGAGGTCTTTAGTTTTCTGTGCTTATGTTTATTTTATGTCTCACAATGAGGTAGATGACAGGATGTTTTCTGGTGTGTTTTGCAGGGTTTCTGGAGGGGAACTTTTTGACTTCTTGGCACAGAAGGAGTCTTTGAGTGAAGAGGAAGCAACCAGATTCATCAAACAAATTTTGGATGGTGTGAATTACCTTCACTCTAAGAAGATTGCTCACTTTGATTTAAAGGTAAAGATGCTGATTTTGACTTACTGTTGTTGTTTTTTAATGACAGACTGTACCTTCAACAATTAGATATTTGATAACATGCCTAAAAAACCAGGTAAGATCATTTCAAAGGTTCTTCACAGCTGAGTGCTCCAAAGAGGACAATCTCTTATCGGGCCTATGGTAAGTTTTGGATGCACTTTTACTGACTGAAAAAAAAAGAAATTGTAAATCTTCATCCTTCAGCTGTTCGCATTTGTAGTATAATCCAAAGCATGCTGTTTAAAAAAATAAAGAGTAAAGAAATTTAGAAAGATGTACAGAAGAAATGTGGTTTGAGGAAGAGGATAGCCAGGATGTCCAGCTACAAACAATTGTTGCTGCTTCCAGTCCCTACGGTGTTCAGAATTACACGAGGAGTGTGTGCCCTCCAGTGCAGTCTGGTTAAACAGAACGACTTCTTGCTTTGCTTTCTGAGCTGCTTAGGGCCTTGAAAGCGCATCACAGAGAGCTCTCTTCCTACCATATCAGGTGCCATCTATAGCTTTGGTCTTTGACTTTGATATCAGTACAACAGGTGTAGACAATACAGAAGAGACCGTCTTTCTCTCCTTTTGATTGTGGACTGCCTAGGTGAACGTGCTTCTCTGAAGCCAGGAGCCTGTTGTCCTTGGGAATGAAACTCTTGAGACTAGAAGGAAGTGCTTTCTCAAGAGCACAGAACTGCCTGCCCCAAACATTGCTGCTTCCAGAAATATATTCAAAATGCACTTATTCCCAGGAGAAAGTAGAATAAAACAGAGGAGGGAACAGTTTTAAAATGAAGGAAAAGGAAAGAAACTCTACTACTAGATTACGTGCTCCTTGTCCTAATTTTAAATTCAAGTTAGTTTATTACTAATTTCATGTGTGCTATAGATAGGCTCCTCCCAGATTCTCAGGTTATGTATGTGGATTCCTTGTCCTAAAAGTATGTCTAGTGCTGCCTCGGTCTTAAATTGCTTGATCTTGACTCAGTGTTAATGGCATATATGTAGTCGTTGCAAGTCCCATCTAACCTAAGAAACTGGTTAGCAAACTGCCACCCCGATCTTCCTGGGGTACATGTGAAAAAGCATAAGAGATACATGCACATATAAAGGATATGTACTTGATTATGAAATTACTACATGAGTCCTCAACCTAAAGAGTGAAATTTTTCTCTGCGCATTAGGAAGTGATGTAATACCCAGTGGTGTGAAATTATTGCCAGAATATAGATGCAACTTCTTCTGTACTGATCTCTACCTACTAGTTATGATATTTAGTACCAGTAATGTCAGGTGGTTATTGAAGGTGTTACGAGGAATGCCAGATAGAAATCGGAAAGGATGAGTAAAGAATCATTTCACTGATCGTGTATATATATCAAATGACCTAAAACATATTCACAGAATAACTCTCCTGGGTTTTAAAGGACTAGGTTTACAGTTTTGCTAGCGTTAAACTAGACATGCATTTTAAACAGTGATCTGATTAGACAGAGAATGTAATTATCTCGTCACTTGACAGAGCTCCATCAACTGCTTTGGAGCTACTACGACTTACACCACCTAAGGAATAAAACAGTCCAAGAGGTAGTGACTGTGACTTTTTGCCATTTCAGTCTGTTTTATCTGCTCTAAACAAGCTTACATCATGTATCTGGAGTGAACACACGTGCTCTGGATCCATTTTAGCCTGAGGCTAAAATATCATTGGTCCAGTGACTGTGACAATAAATGGTTTGTGTGCTCTTTCGCAGGGCAGCTCTGACCGAGAGTGTGTGTTAGCAGGAGCTGCTTCCGTGGTAGGATCTGCTGCAAAAAGGCCAGGCCACTGCCGGCAGGGAATCAGACTGTCTGACTGTTGCTCTTGAGCTTATGATTAAGTTATGACAAATTAATGCATTAAAGGTCTTCATGGGAGATAAATTGAACCTATAGTTCACTCTGAAAGCTGTGAAATAGCGCCATGGTAGGGAGTAACTAAGGCTGAGAAATTTAGTTGAAGAAGTAAGTTTATGAAAGACCCATTATATCTGGTAAAGGATCTCAAAGTCTGTGGTTGAAAAAGTTAGCTTTAATTTCACGGTCCTAGCTTTTCCCTACAATCCTGTGAGAAAAGCTACACGTTCTTTTAATAGTTTGCCATTATAAATGAGCTGGACCTCAGAGCCCAACTCTTTCCATTTTCTGGACTGTTCAGATAGTAAACCCTAGATCTTTCCGGGCCTTGCTGTTGCAGCTATGAATTTAATCTCATAGAGAAGAGCATTTCCCTTCCCTAAGTAGGTTCAGGTGTGACTAGAATGCCTCAAGAAGCATTTCGTTAAGGCATCTTCCAGTGAGTTACAATGCAGTGTAGGAATAAGTGAGCAGAAAGAGTGAGGTTTCCCAGTGTAAATTCCAAGAACAGATTAGTAAAATTGCTGTCAGTCAAAACATTCAGCGGTGCAGCTCTCCCTCGGGATCTGAGGCAGTTTGCCTCTGCACTGCTTCAGCTGCCTGCTGCTGTGTGTGCGCCAGTTGCTGTAAGGGAGGCAAGTGCGTGGTCTGAGGGTGGCCTGAGGCAAGTGCGTGGTCTGAGGGGACAAGAGAAACTGAGCTTCCACTTTGTGTTATATCGCAACGCTGCTGAGCTGATAATCTAGTGGCGTATCTTGTCAGACTAGGGAACAATATACAGTTGTGTGAAGAGCTTCTGTCTCATGAAAACAAGGGTATCTTGTTTTCATCCTGGAAATAGCCATCATTAAGAAGAGAAGCTCAGTGCTAACAGGAAGATAAAGAAAGGTGGATTTTGCAGGAGATAAAATTAAAGGAATGAACATATGACTTTTAATAGATTTGCTTTGCTTTTATGAAGTTCTGGTCAATGATGTCAGATTTCACAGTTGTCATCCCTTTATCAAGGGTATGAATTGCAAGTGGTTAGACACAGGTATGCCTTTTTTTTTGATTGTGTATGTGAAACAAAAAAAACACTTGACAACTCTGTTACTTTCCCAAGATCTTAATATTATAATAACAAAGATCTGTCTGTTATCTTTAGCCTGAAAACATTATGCTTCTAGACAAGAATATCCCTATTCCACACATCAAACTCATTGACTTTGGCCTGGCTCACAAAATAGAAGATGGAGTTGAATTTAAAAACATTTTTGGAACTCCAGAGTTTGTAGGTGAGTGACCAACCTGTCCCTCTGTTTTGTATTGCAAGTTCCATGAGGAAGTTGAGACAGCTTTGCAAAGTTAACAAGCGAGAGATAGAGGTAGTTTCAGTCTCAATTGTACCGAGGTGACCTAAACCTAGTTTACTTTTTCTGGAATAGATGAAAGATGTGTTTTACAAATGAGATGTGCTGCTCCTGTGAGAGTAGGTTGCTGCCAAGTAAATATTTAGAGATGTAAGTTCAGGATTGAGATTATGAGACCCTGTGAATACAAAATACAGTTCTTTCATTGTTGTCTGGGGCAAGGAAGCTCCCTTGTGTTGTAGTACACGAGTGCACAATTACGTGAGTATCTCTGGAAGGAAGAGGGGGAGCAGAAGCAAGAGGAGCCTCCACCCTCAGCAAAATTCCCCCTTCTAATGAGGGTGGTGTTGGTGTTATGGGATAGAGGGTGAGTAGAGAATTGTACTTCATATTCCAGTTAAATACAACTATTAGAGACACCTTTTTTTCATCTCATTACCTCACCCTGGTCTTTTCTCCTGCATGGAATCTTATATGGGGAAATTTTCCAACAAGAAGGTGGTTTGACATGGATAGCGATGTAGTCTGGCATGGGATTTCAGTCTCTTGCCCAAGGGCTGTTTCTGGCTGGACATTAGAAGGTGGCTTTAATAGCACCAGTTAAAAACAAAACAAAAGCTCAGATTCTTAGGGGTAGCAGTATCCTTGGAAGGTGAAATAATTTGTTATTTCTTGTAATTTGCACTTAATTAATATACAATATCTACTTTACCCTTACTCTTGAGTTGCATTATCCTCTAAGTTACTCTATATAATCTCTTGTGGACACCTGTGAGCTTGAATTCATATCAGGGATATAAAACTGTAAACAGTGCATCCAATAACTATCTTTCCTTTCTCCTGCTTGGTAATTCATGACCTGCTACTCAATTCAACTTGGTAAGAATTTGTTACCTCAGTTGCTGACATTTGATTACATTTTTCTTACAGCTCCAGAAATAGTAAACTATGAACCACTTGGACTAGCTGCAGATATGTGGTGAGTTTTTAACTTTTTTTCCCAGGTTGCTCTACTGTTACTTTTTCCCAGTTTGCTCTGAATAGAATACATTCTACTGAAACAAAACCAAACCGAACCAAAAGACTTAAGTGTGGTTTATCGCTCTTGGTTCTTTCTTTTTGCATTCTTTTTAATTAAAAATTAAATTAAAATACAAGCATCTAATTTCTGCAAAAGTACAAATCAAAACTTTAATGATGGCTGTTACAGAGTTAACAGTTCACCACTGCCCACTGCAGAGGAGCATTCTTAAAAGAAAACACATTCCTGCGGTGCTTGTGACAGCTTTATTTATAAGACTGCATGCAGAGGAGACCTGCGTGCTGATCTGATCTGCTGAGAAGGCAGGCAAAAGAGGTCACCCCCCAATAAAACATCTTTGCTTCTATTTCTTTGTATTTCTGATCTATACTGTAGGAGATACCTGCAGGAGTAGACATACGTAAAGAGACTTTAAACATCCACGTTACTTTAAGTTGTGTGTGAAATTCACATTTTCCCTCAAACACCATTCTTTAAAAGAGATATTAGCAGTTACCTAAAGCCACAATGGCTCTCCTGCCTGTATAGCAGCTACTATTGACTTTTTGATACTGTGTACGTTAAGAAGAATGCAGGCCATGTGGAACACCTGCAGTTAATCTCTTTTGTTTTTTAGGAGCATAGGAGTCATCACTTACATACTGTGAGTACAAGAGATTCGCTCCTGTAGAAGTGTTCCTAAAGCTCTTTTGCACTGGTATGAAACAGCTCTTCCCTCGAGTCGTTTGAGGAAGCAGCTGCACACATGGGGTGGGCAGTGGTTTGTATGCTGGGCAAATGTTATCCTGCAGCATTTTCAAGTTTAAAATAAGAGGTAAAAGAGGGGCATTTTGGGCAGACAAAGAGCAAATGTCTCTACCATCATTTCTGCTTCTTATGGGACCTCATCAGCTCCAAACAGTAGAGAATGGAAAAGCCCAAGTGTACTGGTTGCTTATGGAGGGGCTTACAGAGAATAGAACCAGAAAGTGCTTATAGAGAATAGAACCAGAAAGTGTTCTAGTACTGTTTATAAGGTGAGTTACCTCAGGTGAAAACAGCCAAGTTTTAATTTGCTTGTAAAGGCAGCAGTCTAGATACATAAATATTGTCACCCATATTCAGAAAGATGAATTTAAACTGGGGTAAGAGCAGAGAAATAAAAGTGGGAAGTTATGACAAGCTCAAACTCTTAAAGAAATGAAGTTCCTTGGGCATCCTGGGGCCAAGCAGTCAAGAGAATTTTAAGATGGAGCCTGACATTTGCGAAACTGCCTGTGTGGCAGGGGCTGCGTGCAGTGGAGGGACAGCACTTTGTTGCTTCAAGAACTCTTTCCTCTGATTTGGTATGAGAATTCCAGAAGTGGTCAAGGATCCTTGGACCTAACCGCTTCCCTTGCAGTCAAGCTCTTGTGACTGCAGTGGAGCAGCACTGGAAATATCTTGCCTTTGTGTTCTTGGCCTGGGTTTCTACTCTTCCTCATGACACTCAGAGGACTAACTTGCTGCCAGCCTTAAGGAAGGTGCACGCTAGTATTAGAGGGATTTGCATGACACAGCACAGGGCTTGGTACAAGTATGGAGGCATGAAGGGAAGGGAGTGTCTTTTCAGTGTGGAAAATACATGTAGTGGAATTAAATCCATTCTCAGGCTATACCCAGGGCTTAGACCCAAAAGCTCTAAAGGAGCTATGGTCTGAGAAATCTGAGTGCAATAAATTCCCTTCTGTCCTGGGGTGCAGAAGAAAATAGGGATACTGGTTGAGCCCAAGCTCAGGTAAAGAGGTTTAAAACATTGCTCAGATCCTTGCTTTTTATCAGCACTCTGGTCTTCAGTGACACATGTGCTTTACAGGACATTAAACTTTGTAAATCACTGTTTATGTGTGTTCATAAATCATGAGGTGAAAACATAGGAGTTGAAGATAAGCAGGTGGGAATATGTACCGGGCGATTACAGTCGTGCACAGATGGCGAGGGGCTCTCGAGGTTTTTCAGTTGCATTAAGACGTCTGTCCCAGGGGTAGAATAGTGAAGCTGTGCTGTATCCAGTGTGGGAGATCTGTTTTACCCAGTTGGCTAGTAATGATTGCTGTAGTAATTAAGGTTGAAAATTGTCTCCCTACAAATGATCAGAAAAAAAAGAGTGTGCTTTTTATGATGGGAGGGATCAGCCTCCATGATCTGCCACATACTAGGTATTTGTATGCCTTTAACTAGTATTGCCTGTTAATTTTCAAGCCTCTTGTTTTGAAAAATTCTAAATAAATGGGGTGTGTTCAATGATCCTGCTCACTTTAGCAAACACGGCAGCAATCAAATGGATGCCATCATCAGGTATAGAGATCAAAATGCCTGCAAGTCCTTTACTCAGTAACCAGTGAAGTGATTCACTGGGTTTTAAGGGCAGAGCCTTTACTACCGATGTCTGCTGTTAGATGTTTACAGACATGAGTCAGGATATGACAGAAGTCATTTGCATTAGGCGTTAGGATTTGAGACTCTTCCCATTTCACAGACCTCAAAACTGAGCCCCAAAGAGGAACAAAAAAATAAATCAGAGAATACACTACTATTAGCTGTGATTTCCAGTGCAGGGCCAGAAGATGGAATTACAGCTGCTTCAGGGACAGTTTGGGGGAAAGGGAAAAGAAACCAGGTTTCTAGGGCAGGTTTCCAACCTTCAGTTTTGGAACAACACCCACAGTCTGTGGTGAGGTGCCTGCTTGTAGCCTTCTTTGTGGCTAGCAGAAATGGAACAAAAGCTTAAGAGGAAGCATGTAAAACCTGTTAAGAAGTGATATTGATTGTGGCTTGTGGGGTGAAATTTACTGCATCAAAGACCACTGGACCTCACTCATTGCCTTGCTGTGCCAGCTGCTTTAGTGCCATTGTATGATTGCAGAGGAAGAGGAAACTCAAATGTTTATTACGTGAATAAAATACAACCACATGTGGTAGCCAGGGCCAGGGCTGAATGGCTGAGGTGGTCCCATCTAACTTTCTGGTTACCCCCAAATTCCCTGTCAATGTAGTAGTGACAATACAGACGCGGTAAAATATCTATTGAGCAGGATCACATAAGCAAGCACTTTAGTATTCAAACCTCAGTTTAGATCCCAGGAGTTTGCTGCAGTCCTATTTTGAGTCTGCTGCATCCTGAAAGTGTGCTGTCGAAGCTAGACTTAACAGATAAACACAATGAGAGCTCAGAAGATTTTGAAAAAAGGGATGAGATCAATTTCCTTGGTATAAACAACATTTCCCATAAGACTTCTGCAAGTCAGCATCCCTATGGACTGGGGGAGGGAGGAAGGGGAAGGAAGGGGAGAGGAGGGAAGGCAGGACAGGCCAGGAGGAGTCTGCAGTGAATCGATTCTGACTCTTGAGTTTTCTAGAGCAGAAGTAATTAGTCATCAAAGATGAAGGTTGTCAGTCACAGCTGAGAGATAGGCAAAGTGAGAGGAAAGCTTTTTCTGTCAAAGACAAGACTGCTGGATGGCATTTTATTATGATGCTGTGTCCTTATGACACATCCTGTGATATATCCTTACAGTTGGAGCAAGGTGTCGACAGAATGAAATTTTGCGTTGTTCAGGAACAGTTGGATTTTATTGCAGCCAAAGTCCTCCTGTTTGTGGATTCCTTTTAATGAGTAGCATGGCCTGACCTCTCTGGTGGATTTGGCCCCTAGGCTGGGCCGTGTACCTGACTTCCAATCACACATTGTATTTTGGTTCCAGCTGAGGAAGGTCTCTTGACTGAACACAGCTTGCAGGGAATTTGTCAGTAGCTTTGCAGAAAGAAAAGCAGTAGGGGCAGGGCTTTTCATAACCGAAGAAAACCTGTAGAAATGCTACTTTACCTGCTTGAAGCCAATAAAAACTTCTGCCTGGTAGTGTTTTGGGGTTCACAGGGATAGAGACTCTCCTCAGCTGAATTTTTTTCTAGTTTGACTGTCAATGACTTGAGTTGAGACATCAGGAAAGGAGAATCTGCATTTCTCTCTCTGGGTATATGCTAGTGCTGCATTAGAGATTTTTCAAGGTGAGTCTGGCTTGTAACCGTAGATGTAGTTAGCCAAAGCTGAATCTGTTATTCCTCATGTGGCATGGCTGCTGCAACATGAAATCCACAAAGTCCTGAAAGTATGTTGCACAGTCACTGGAACTTTATTAGGGGACCTCTGCTGTTTATTTTTCCAACTGATTCTGCTTTCTGGCTTATCTAGACTTAGCGGTGCATCACCTTTCCTTGGAGAAACTAAACAAGAAACACTTGCCAACATCACAGCTGTAAATTATGAGTTTGATGAAGAGTTTTTCAGCAATACCAGTGACTTGGCGAAAGATTTTATTCAGAAACTTCTGGTGAGAGATACACGGTAAGGAAAAATTCAGAAAAATCCATTTATCTCTAAGATAAACCTGATTGAAACATAGCCTGAGGAGTAATCTGCAAAGCCTTCCTTTCAGTCTGTATTGCCGTTCAAGAGCAGGATAGAGGGTGCTGCTGTGCCCCTAATCGTTGCACCCAGAAACCCTAAGAAAAGGAACCCAGTCTCCTCAGTTAAATTTCACTTTCGGGATGGAATTATTGCCTGAATCATGCTGGGACAGTAAGGTGTAGGTGAAGGGCTGAAAATGCTGTGCAAAACACAAAAATACAGGTAGATTTTTATTGAGTAAGAATTAAAAATTGTGTGGAGTGAGGACAGCTCCCTCCTGAAACTTGGAACAGTCACTAAACTACACACAAGCAGTATGCCTCATGGAGAAACATCACCTTGGAATTCTAGAGTTAGTCCTGGCGTTTTCTTGCTCAATGCCTAGGGGAGGGTGCAGGTCAATAGACTTGTGTACCTGGTGTTTCTTATTCAAGTCTCTGGGGGGGTTTTGTGTTGTTTTTTAGGAAACGGCTTACAATTCAGGAAGCTCTGTCTCATCCCTGGATAACGGTAAGACTGTAGACACAGATCTTGTTTTTTACCATGAGCAAACAGAGATGATATTCTCGCTGTTATTATTAGTGTGTTAAATGGAAAACTGCCCTCTAAGTACTTAACAACTCTAGGTGTCTCATCTTGAGATGTACTGGTAAGAAACTGATTGGGTCTAACTAAATCCTTGGATTTCTGCAAAAAATCTTTGGTACCATAACTTCCAAAAAGAGGATGACAAAGCTTTGATGTTGCTTGCACATTACAGTATCCTGTGTTAGACTGGGCTTTGCATTTTTCCATCCTCCTTCTCTGTTTGCATGGACATACACTGTTGGGTTTAGTGCTTTCTTGAGTTGACTACAGCTATTGTTGGAAATACAATTTTTTCCCAAGATATAACTGGTGTACCGAGCGTGCTGATTTGCTTACATTTGTGTGTCTGTATGTATTTTTTCGTCATAAACATTGCTTGATTTTGTACATTTAGCTAATCTCAGCATGGCTAACAAGGGTGTTTAAAATTCAGTTTTTCTTCGCATTGCACAAAACATTAACTGGAGTGTTTTCAGAATTGTTGATTTTCCTCTTAGAAATATTGATAGCTTTGAGATTGTTAACTGCTAAAAATTAACATGAAAATAGATTGCAGCCCCGTTATTTACACTTATCACGTTGCAATGTATGCACATCACTTGTCTCATATATTTTTGAGTTTGTGTAGTGGTTGTTTGTTGTTTTGGGGTGTTTTTTTTAAAGTCAAATGCATGAAGGAGAATCTGTGTGAGCAAAGAATCTCCCAGCATTGTGGAAGTTCAGGCTGCATCCTTTGTGTAGAGATTTTGAATTACTGCACTGTGTTGTAAATGTTCAGTAATATTGGTTCCTCTGTCTGACGACTCACCAGCTGAAAGAAGAAACAAAAGTCCAAGAAAACAAGAAGGTTGAGAACACGCAGCTGAAGACAAAACGCCTGAGAGAGTACACCATAAAGTGCCATTCGAGTATGCCTCCCAATAATACCTACATCAACTTTGAGCGCTTTGCCCGGGTGGTAGAAGACATATCGCTTATGGAGCGAGGTTTCAGCACTTTGACTGCATTCCACGATTCCTTGCAGGAAGACATTGACGCTCTGGTTTCCATTTATAATGAGAAGGAAGCTTGGTATAAAGAAGAGAATGAAAGCGTGAGGCACAAGCTGTCTCAGCTGAAGGATGAATACCGTAAAACTGAATCCCTGAAAAGACATCTACAAGATGATATAAAGACTGTAGGTGCTAGTCTTACAGGCATAACTGGAAAATACGCTGATCTGCAGAGTCAGTATGAATCTCTCAGTCAAGAACTTTCTGAGGAGCTCAGGTGGATACAAGATTTAATGAGTAGTTTTCAGCCGGAAAATGAAGCCTGTGTGAATAGAAACTTTGACTCTGTTTTCAACAAAGATATAAATGAGTCACTAATGGAGCTGTTAAATAGATCTCGCTGTGAAGAATTCCTTGCAGGCTTGAATCTTGATGTAGCAGAATCAAATCAGTAATGCTGTAGATCAGGCTAGCTGCAAGGGTTACTGCCTATTTCAATATGCAGAAGTTTAGCAAGTTTTCAGTGTGTATCTACACAAAACCATCACCTAGACCTAAAATAGAAATTCTCATGTATTGCGTGTGATGCTGACCAAAGCTGTAAACTCCCAGTGGTTTGTAGTGTTGAAGTTTTTTTTCCTGTGTTCAGCAGCTCAACTTACAGGAACTGGGTTATCACAGTGATATGGACACATGGAACTCTACAGCATTTTGCATTGCCTGTATCATACTTCATGATGTATTACAGTTCCTAATGATTACTAAGTAACGAACCTGGAGTAAAGAGTAGGTCATCCTGTACTTAGTAGAAGCTGGGTGCCTGGGAACTAAGAGAAATCTCATGATGGCATTTTTGGTTGAATGAAGGAAACAGTTGTGTCAACCCGCTGCAGGCAGTTCTGTAGACCATATGAGGTAAATATTTGCAAAGGTTCAGTCTGTCCTGTAAAACAAAGTAAATGGTGGAGTAATTTAATATCTAGCTAGTACTGTGCAATTTCACTGTTAAATGGCTACTGATGAAGACAAGATTATTTTTTAGGCCAGTTATGCAGGTGAACTCTTTTACCATCAAAGATGTTAGCTATTGATTAATCCTTTAATCTAAAACTAAACTGTTTCCTGTCCAACGACAAAGAAATCCTATTCAAAACACGCAGTTGGGAACTTGTAATGAACTGATCAAATGCTTGTGCATGTAATTTTACAGTACAAATATTAATTTGTGAGTGATAAGTGATAATATAGACCTCTGATGTGGTTTCTACAGTAAAGATGACAAAGCGATGACTAATTTAATCTGTGGTGTGGGATTTGAGATGAGTGTTGTTTCTGTGAAGATTTTTTTTCTTAAGTTTCAGAAAGCAAGAGAAGAGTTGGCCCAAACTTGAATCATGCCCTGCTGTCTTGTACTTTAAAGAAGTCATTGGATTGTACTGTATTAATATATGCAGATGCACCCATCTAATTTCTGGAGACAATAAATAATTATTTATGCAGGATGCAATTGCTTCCTGGTGATATAGTTAGTGATTGAAAAAGAGATGTCAAGCTTCTGTGTACTGAAAAGAGTTGCCAGCCCAGGTTTGGCAGCTGGTTTACAGTCTGGCTGCTTAGTTACATGAATTTACTGCACGATGACTGTCACACAGCTACAGGAATCAGGGAGGTAGTAGCCAGGCATCCCTGCATCACTGCTCAAGTCCATCTACAGTGTATCTTTATTTTTATATATTTTCATATCTATCTATCTATCTATGTATTTTTCACTGCCCACCTTTCCTCTTCCTTTTCCAGAGAAGTTAATCACCTAAGCTGAACTGTTGTTGTTCATAACATGTAATTAATGTATTTTGAGATTAAAAAGTCATCCAATTTGTGTAGAGTGCAGTGGATCCGTCACTACCACATCCTCATAAAGATGTGCAGAGGGTGATGAAAATTTGGAGTTCTGGAAACAGTTACTCGGTAGGGATATTGTTCCTCCTGTCATTATGCTTGGTGGAGAATAGAAGCTGGATATGCTCTCTGTGGCATCTTTCTTTGTACACGATGTAAAATTTTTACAAGCTTCTAAGTAGTGTAGATAGCCAGGAAATGTCCCTGGCAAGGTGGCGTTGATGGTTGGGGAGAACTGCGCTCCACTGTCATAAACAGTATTGAGAATTTTACATATGGAGGGTTTTTTTATTCTCTTGGAACATTGCAACCATCACTTCTGCAGGTTCCTTGGAACTGGAAGACTCATCCATTGAAACTGTAACACAGGATTTCTTTATGAGACAGTTTTAATTCTTAAAAAGTAACTTAAAGCTTAGCGAGCGTTAGTATCTGCAGAAGGGACTCTCAAAAATGCAGGTCTGCCTTCCCTCAGCCGTGATCTCATATTCTTCGTGAACAAATACACCGGCACGATGAGAAGGAACATTAGATGAGGCCACTTTGTTCCTGAGCATGTTTGGATGAGGTTAGTGTTGTTGTGACTCGGTCCTTGTGGCTGGTGCGCTCTGAGGTGAAGGAGGTCACTAAAACAGTGCTTCTGAGAAGATATTCAGGTGATTGATAAAATGACAAAGTCACTGGTTTGCAGGCTACTTGGAAATCGAGAGGCAGTTATTAGCAGTCTGCAGTACTGTAAAGCGAGCTATTTTGATTCAGCGATGGTTCTGCTGCTGAAAGGGCACTCAGATTTTTCATGGTGATTGTACGGCTGACATTCAGCCAGTGACATTTTTTCCACTTCAAATGGATTGCTGCTCAGTGGTTTGTTGCACCGTGCTAGCCATTTGCAGCACAAGGAAATAATATTTAATGCTTAAATGTCCCATTCTGTTGTATACCAGTGGTGCATGAGAAAGACCTCGCTGAGAGCTTCACTCCTTGAATTACTGCACAAATATCTGCACAAATGCTATACCTACGGTGTTTGATGGGAAAAGTGAATTTGTTGTCTCATAAACATTTACCAGTTATTTTGCTGAAAAAAAAAGGTTTAAATCCTCACTGATTTGTTTTCCATTCTCTGTTGGTACTCTTGCCATCTAGCTTGACTGCATTCCAGTCCAGTTCAGTATAAATATTTCTGGGTTATCCACCTCCCACATATGCAGACTGGAACTGCTGGAAATGTTGTCACTCCATAAGCTCCATCTTTGAAGGGCTGGTTCCTGGCCTTTCTCTTTTTACTTTTACCAGATCTCGTTTGGAACTGTTTTCCCTCAATCTGTCAGATTCAGTTTTCTGGTCAACCTGAATTTTAATATGGTTTTCGAGTTCAAGGGTGCTTCATTTTCAGAAGGACTGTGTCAGGATTTGTGGAACATCTGTTCCTTAACACCAGATTGGCATCCAGAAAATATAGGCACATGCCTAAACGCTGGTACACATAGTTTTTCTTCCTATTTTTCCATATTCAGGCAGCATGAGACCAAACAGTGTGATGATGCTGGGTTTAGTCCCGCTCTGTCGTGATTTCTAGCAAGCGTGTACAAAACCCCTGAGCAGCAGTGTGCTGCAGTGCTCCTGATGCACTGACAACAGCTCCGTCTCCTTTCTGCGAGGCCTGTGGAACCTTTTCATTTCTCACCTAATGCTTTTCAGAAAGAGGGACATGAATAAATGTGAGCTGGTATGAGCTCGGTGCAGAGAAAATGGAGATGATGTGCACTGAGAAGCACCTTATCAACTTTACAAAGTGAAAGCATGGCCTTAGCACCCTCTAGCACCCCCTTCATTACCTTCCTCTTCAGTTTGGCTGTCCTTGATCCTGCCCTTTTGTCTAGAAAAGCTGATCCCAGACTTTGTGTTTGGTTTTCGTGTGGATCGTTATGAAGCGGGAGGTGGAAGTGGAGGCTGGAGTAAAGTCCGTGCCATGCGATGCACCTTTTGTGTCGGGTCGAGTGGCTATAAAGGGGCGGCAGTGCAACTTCTCGGAACAATTCCGTGTGCAGGGGCAACAGGCTGTATGCTAGGGGTAGGATTTTGTTTGAGATCAAAGGGGTCCTGCCCAGGCACAGCTTCCCCAGCCAGCATTCTTCTTGGACAGCTAGCTCCAGAGCACATGAAGAATCGTCTGTATTTTATGCACCAGTGGGAGCCAGGCAATAAAATTGCTCTCTTATTTTCCAGCCAGTGGACAAGCGACAGGCTCTGGTTCGACAAACATCTGCTGTTAACCTGGAAAACTTCAAGAGGCAATATGCTAGAACACGGTGGAAGGTATGACAGCCAGCCTTTAATCCTTCTCATGTAAGGCTTCCCAGGCCTGATGGGATCAGAGGGCAAGATAGAGCTTGAATATAAAATTGTAATATGGTGAATGAAATGTGTTTGGATATGTCTGTACTGCATACGTGTCGTCAAATTCTCATTCTTCCCTCTCTCCATAGCTGTCTTACCGTATTGTCTCGTTGTGCAACCAGTTATCTCGCTTGCGGGTGAAGAAGGCCCTAATTCAAGATGAAAGTTTGGTAGGTACATTTCTCAAACAGGAAGGAGGGAAGGACCAGTTTTCCGGTGTGGCAATTTGTGCTGTCCTTAGACAGATGCACAGCGCAACAGGACGGCAGGGGCTTTGAGTGGGAAGCCGGATGGGGCCATGGCATCCCTTATGTGTTTTAAATGCTGCTGTAAGTTGTGTACTGTGACAGAAATGTTGGGCAACAACAGCTGGTGACTCTACAAACCCTTCAGGTGCTGGCATGGGGGCTGCAGGTGATGTGTGGGTCCTGTAGCAGTGACCATGCTGCGTGACTGAGGAGTGAGCGGCTGGGAGAGAGCCTGCACTGCTGCTCTTGTGCCCAGCTCTGCGGTGGAGGGTGGGGGACCCCGGCAGTGCCTGTGACCTTCCAGAATTGGAGCTCCCTGAGATTCTAGTAGCTCTGCCTTTCTCAATAAATGATAACGCTAGTAATATTAGAACATCATGGTTAGGAGTGTGGTATATCATTTATGTGTCTGAAACATTGTGGCCTTTCTGTTTCAGAGAAATTGCGAAAGTGACAGTGAGGATCTTTCACAAAGAAGAGCCACTGAGCGGAGGAGAAGCAGCGTATCCTAATGTAGTGAGAATTCTGCGGGCAGCAGAGAGAGGAAACTTTCATCTCTGCTGAAAAAAGCAGCCCTGACAGCAAACCTTGGCTTCTTATCTGAACGTTTGGTATGATGCTTACCAACAGCTGGTTGACATTATTAAATGCCTACTGAGCATTCCATGAAACGGAGGATCCAGATTCCCAGGGAAATGCCACAGCACAAGCACCTGTTGGAGTGCTTTTCTGTGTTGAGTGTTTCAGGAATACTTTATTTGTGATACCAACCGCACTCAGGACGTACGGTTTCTAATGGTATTCTTTTACTGCAGAATCATTTGCATTCTGCACCATGGTTGAGACTGTGTGCGTTGTTATTGTTTCAGTCAGGGAGATCGTTTTTCAGTCTTAAGGAATTTTCTATG